TATACCCCATGAAAGAAAGGCGGCTAGATTTTCTTGGTTTCTTTTCCGGCAACTCACTGATACGTTGCATTGAGTTTCGAGTACCCCCGTGAGAATTTCGTCTATATGGAGCCACATTCTCCGAGTTTCGCCTTCCTATAGCTCCTTTTCTTTCCTCTTCTCCACCACCTTCTGATTTTCTCATAAACGGACGATTGGTTGATTCACTGAGTGCACGAGGTCTGTTCACTGCTTGAACAAGTTCTGTTACAGAACTTGTAGCCATTTCTTTTTGACGTGCTGCAAAGCAAGATATTGGTGTAGCTCAAATATAAGACACAAAAATGGAGTTACCTAATCAAATGGAAAGAAAAGGTAAATCATACAATAAGTTATCTGCTTATTTACGTATCAGTTTATACTTTCAAATGCCATTTGTTAAGGAGCCAACAACTTTGTTTCATTTGCGCAACTTAACCATATTTTTCCTGATATTTCATCAAAAACTCAAAATGAACAGGTTTAATATTAGTTATCACGTGGAGAATAGTTAGTCTGCCGAGCTGCTCCAGTAGTTGCAGCAAATTTACTCGTGTTGGACGGTTCACTAACGAGCTAAGGAAATAAAATGGAAGCTATTTTTGCCATCTAGAAAACAGAATTGGTTGCATACAGGGACTAATCTATTTTTTACGAAAACAGAATTGGTTGCATACAGGGACTACTCTATTTTTTACTAGTCATGTACGTAACAGCAGCAGTATGACTGCTCTAACTGAAGGCCTCCTATCAGTTCGATAGCAGCGAACCTCAAAACCATTTAAGAACATAGGTGTCTTGTTCTTATTCGATGTTGCGGCAGTTTGCATGTCTTCAGTTTTTGAGATTTGAACGTAATGCTGAGATTTTATCATAATCTTCTAAATCTTTTCCTTCTACCTCAGTCCTCAGGTATGGTATATAGCTTGATGATTACTTGACTGCAAAGGCAACTCCCCCCTAAAAAAAGAAGAGAGTTGCTTTTGCAGTCAATTAATCATCAAGCTAAACAACAAGAAGCTGAGATTGGCTCCCTCATGATACCGCAACAAAATCTACTTTAGGACGTTAAGTAGTCTATATGGATGTCAGCTAAAACCCATAATAGGGTTTTAACCTTTCAAAATCCCAAGAAAAGGGAGAAAAAAGGAGAAAGTTTATTGTCATTATCTGAAGAGGCCACGAATCCTACTCCATGTCATGTCCAATGTTGGCCACTGAAGTAAGATAAAAAAATAATTGCGTGACATTTAGTCGAATGAACAGTAATAATAATTGAAGGGAGATAAGAAGCTTAGAGTACCGTCATATCGGATCAAGGATCCAGGCAATCCATTGGGACGCAAGGTCTTATCCTTGGACCCCTCAGTATGCTTGCTAACTTCCACTTGCATTCTGCCAAATAAGCAGATATAAGAACATGTAAACTAGCAAGATGATAGGTATATCTACAATTTTAAATTAATTTTCATATATTCTCCCCTCTAATTTTGATTTTCAGACCTACCCCAGAGTCCATCACTGTCAAGCACTGAGTCTCAGTAGCAGGTGCCCATGTATGGCTAGCTAAAACCCCAGTTGGCACATCAAAAAAAATTTTGAATTTTTGGGTTGGGCATCTTATTCGTATGGCAGGGGGGCATTTCTTCTTCTTTTTCTCCTCCTGACTTATCATGTTGCGTGTGTGGGACACAACCATGCTCCTAAATTCTAGATCTACCATTGCCATGTATTTTATTAAACCCGTCTCAAGTCTAAAGCTAGATAATGTGCTGAAAAAAGATACATCCCGTCTCAAGTCTAAAGCTAGATAATGTGTTGAAAAAAGATACAACACACTGGATTAAAATAATATTATTTTAATTTTATTAAAAAATAATATTATAAGGAAATATTATTTTTTTAAAAAATAAAATAAAATTATTTTAATTTTATTAAAAAATAATATTAAAAGGCAATATTAATTTTTTAAAAAATAAATTAAATTAAATTTCGATTAAATCAATTCACTACTAAGCCTGTAGAGCTGCCATGATATAACTTAATTGAGTGAACTCATATTTTTTCTTGAGCATATAATTAAGATATTTGAAATAAGGTTGAAGTTATTTTTAAAGTATTTTTTATTTAAAAATATATTAAAATAATATATATTTTTATTTTAAAAAATTATTTTTAATATCAACAAATTAAAATATCTAAAAACACTAAAAATATATTAATTTAAAATAAAAAATAAAAAAACTCAAATTTTTTAGTTATCTCGAAAAACATATTAAAAAAATGTTAAATCTAAAACCTTATGGATATGGGATGTCACTACTGATGATTACTAAAAGATAAAGGATAATTAAAAAAGAAAAAACCAGAAGAGAAAGTAATTACCCAATGAATTTGAGGACTTTGCCAGAATCGTCCTTGATGGGTGCAATAGTAAGAAGGTTCCAAAAGGGAGAACCATCTTTCTTGTAATTCAACAATCTCCCACAGTAAGTACCCTCTCCTCGTAAAGCCTCCCTAATTTTCGCTACATCTTCTGGGTCGGTGCCTGCACCCTGTAAGAACCGACTGGTCCAACCCACCATATTCACACACACATGATCACCATTAATACACCACTGATAAAAGCCATTAGTACGTTGAGAAATATGCTTACCAATTCCTGCCAATGACCTCCTTAGAGGTATAACCTGTCATTTTAAAGAAGCCAGCACTTGCATACAAGATTGGATAGTCCGGTTTTGTGGCATCTGATACCACAAATGTTTGTTGGAACGTGGACAGTGCATTTCTTATGTCTTCAGACAGTCTTGGGATATTACTGTTGTTACTAGTCCCTCCGTCATCTGATAACTCGCTAGAATTTCTCACCGAGTTGTTCGAGTCCCTTCTTGATGTACCCGGTTTTGCATTCGGGTCATCCCCGCCCGAACTTCTCACGCTAACCCCTTGTGGCTTGCCTGTCTCGTCGTCGGTTTTTAGCACCAGGCCCCACTCGGCCGCCCTTTCTGTTGCCACCCCAATCTCACCCGACTGTTGTTGTTTCGGTTTTTTCTCGTCTTGCTGGGATTGCTGTAGGGGTGGTGGGGTAGGGACCGGGTCCTTGAGGGCCATCCATGAGGTGGTGATGGGTACGGGTTCATTTTTCGCACTTGAATCAACCCAGCTTTTCCAGGTGGGGTTTGGTGAACGAAATGCTGGGTTAGTGAGTCGGTTCGAGTAGGCATTGGAGGGGTTGAATACTTCAAGTGAATCCCGGGAGTATCTTGGCAGTGGTGGCACGTTACCAGAAGATTGCTTGGAGGACTTGTCCGTTGCTTCCATTTTATGACGATGACCTGCATGATGTCTTAATTGATGAAACAAACCACCACTTATATACTAATAAAAATATAATTCTCGATGTATTTAATAATTTTTCATATATAGATCCCTCATTTTCATAATGCTGAAAGATAGATATTTTGCATAGCATGTGGAGCTAAATCCACCATAGAACTGCACATAGGGTATGAACTGGATTGACGACGACATGGAGTGCGATATCTCTAGCAATGCAAAAGTATTCTAAAATGAAACATCTAAACATGAGGTGAAGAGGAAGTGTAGAGTCAATTGGGGAGGGTGGGGCTGGCAGGTCATGCATGTTCATCTACTTGTGCCGTTTTAACTCATGTCAGCTAGCTGAAGTCTAGTCACTATAAAGGAGAACCTTCATCCTTTTGGATTGTTGCTTCTTTTTTTTCTCCTCAACAACAACAGCAACAAGACACGGATAAACACAGACACAAACTTACTTTAGATGAATTAATGCAGTCTGGTCGATCAAGAAAATAACAGGAAAACAAAATTGAATTTGGTGTCCGAAAAAACAAGATAATGTTCGGTTAATATGATAATTACAGCTGTCTGTCTCCAGCATTAGTCTTCGTTTGCTGGCCCGTGAGAGTGAGTGGTAGCAGAGGTGGCACAATATTCATGACAAAACACAAAAGTTTTTGAGTTCGTGAAAACTGAGTTCAGAAACTTACAGCCACAGAATATTACTGTTTACTCTATTTTTATCAGAAAACGAAAAGAAAATTACCATGCAAAATTGTCACAAGGAAAACAACACTACGCCTTGTACTAAACCCGCTGGTAAATCAGCAGTCACTCGTGACCATGTCAATAATTGGACGTTGCACAGAAAATTGGATCAGCTAGCTAACAAATTTAGACAGAACAGAAAAGGGGAAAAAAAAAAGTCAGCTAGCTAACAAATTTAGACAGAACAAGAAAGGGAAAAAAAAAAAAAAGGGGGATTCTGAATTGATCGAACAAAAACAAGGACATATCCCAATATACAATTAAAAAAACAAAACAAGAATTAAGTATTAGCTTTTTCTGATGAAAATGTATAGCCAGCGGCAGAAAAGAGCACTGATATACTAGTAGTAAAAGTAATGAGAATTCTTGAACAGAAGATCGTTTGATTTGTAAGTAAGGATATGAGTAACCGTATGTAATGAGTGCATACCTGGAGCTGACAATCCAAGTCTTTCTTCAATGTCTTGAAACTAACTAAAAACTGCTGAACCTGGAGGTTGTATTTGTATATATAGTAATGATCATAGACAAGGAATGATTGGAGGTTGTATTTGTATATATAGTAATGATCCTAGACAAGGAATGATTGTACTGAGAGTGTGGGAGAAACGACGAAAATAATTGAACAGAGAGAACTTCTAATGCAGAAAGGCCATGATAACACAAGGAATGATTGTCGAAAAAGCTTGGCTCTCCCCCATCCCTCGACACCTATAATTCACACAGCACTTGCTCGTACCCCTAGAGTTCTCACCCTTATTTTTTCCGCAAGAAACAGATCCTGTATGGGCCATATAATATTGTGAAACTTGCTACTTCTGTTTCTATTCAGCTAATCACTCGCACATCTTAAGGGAGGAAAGGGGCTGGCAACGAAAGCAGAAGCAGGACAGATGAGATGAGACGTCTTGCACGTTGGGGGTTGCAGCTTCTACCGACCGGGCTAGCTTTCCTGGGACAATGCTTCTTCTCTGTCTTCGTGTCTCACCGGTGAAAAGCTTAGATCAGCATATAGAGTCAGATTCTTCCAGCTGCTATATGTCAGAAAACAAAAACATAGTTAGCTATATATATATTTTTTTTTATGAATTTTACCAAATAAATTGGGATATAGTTTAGAGACGTGTAATAGTGGCACTTTGTATAGAGGTGATCATTTTCGGTTTGGTTTGGTTTTTATTAAAAAAAAATAACCAAATTGAAAAAGAAAAATTTGAAAAAAAAACCGAAACCGAACCGAAACCGGGTCAAACCGACCAGTTTCGGTTCGGTTCGGTTCGGTTTTTTAGGGGAAAAACCGGTTCAAATCGGTTTGGCTCGGTTTTTCTCGGTTTTTTTTCATTTTCGGTTCGGTTCGGTTTTTTGGTTATAAAATCGAACCCAAACCGAACCGGCTAGTTTTTTCAAAATTTTAATTAGTTTAATTGAGTTTTTTTTTTTATTTGGTTTAATTGATTTTTTTTTTTTATTTGGTTTTTTTTTTTTTTTTTTAGTTTTTTCAATTTAATTAGTTTTTCAGTTTTTTTCTCACCTCTACTTTTGTATGCGTACTGAGGATAGGAAGGAAAAAGTATGCCCTCAGGGGCATGGATATTAATTAGAGGCGGACATATACCTAACTTTTAGAGGCTTTGGTGTCAGGATATTTGCCGATTAACCAGTTGATATTATTGTCGCAAATATCATGATAGTTATACGCCCGAGTTAAATTTTTCTTTCCACAGCCACTACTTTTTAAAGAACTACTTAGCATTATATTACTTTTTTTCAAGGGTGACTATTAATTTTATATTATAAAAAAATAAAATAATAGTATTTAAACTCGTACTTGTTGAGTAGAATGGGATTTTAATATTATATAAAAAAAACTTTATAATTATAAAATTTATAAAAACCCTCAAAATTGTTTTGTATTAGGACATGGGTAGGTCCACAATGGTTGCACATAAATAAATCTAAAGAAAACACATGGAAAGTGAACCCTCACTATATGTTTTGTACGTTTAAGGGTTTGGTTTTCTCTCGTTAGTATTATTAAATTAAGAAAAATAAAATAAATGAGTTTAGTGTTTCATTGGACATCAAAATATTGTTTAAACAATGTAAAACATTGTTCATTACCATGTTCATTTGCACTGTTCATGAACAACTTTTTTTTTTTTGTAATTTGTCATTATAATTTTCAAAGTTTACATTTGGATTATATTTCTGTCACTTTATGGTAGTTGAGAAAAGAAAAGGAAGTGTTGAAAAGGGAGAGGAGAGAAAAAAAATCTTGGCAAGTCACAATCAACTCATACAAAATACTAATCTTGGTGACACTTGATTCACCTTTAATATGAGAGTTTAATGTATATGGCTTGAGCCTTAAATCATACTAGAAAGTATAGATTAGAATCCAAAAAATATGTTTTGATTTGATTATGAATGTTTAGATTAATTAACATGTGTTTCGAGATTGGCAATAGTCTATTAGGATTTTTTTATATATGTTTTTAGATAAAATAGATTGAAATTTGAGTTTTGAAGCCAAATATATTTGGATTTTTATTTTTTTAATTATTAATTATATCAAAAAAGCACAAAAGCAGGCGACTCTCTTAGCCCCTCATATTTTTTTTTGGGTACTATCTAATCGTTTTATTTTTTGATATTTTAAAGTAAAATCCTATTTAAATAAAAGTTTTATAATGATATTTTATAAATCATTTAATAGTAAGAAGTTAGTACTGTCGTAATTATCTTATTAGTACGAGATATTACTAAGTATATATATATACTCCCTGTGTTCCTAGCTACAAGAGTAACTTTTTAGTTTTGTTTTTGTATTTTAAAAATAATTAAAAAATAAAATATTTTTATTTTTTATTTTAAATTAATATTTTTTTATGTTTTTATATCATTTCAATATATTATACCAAAAATAATTTTTTAAAAAATAAAATAATATTATTTTAATATATTTTTAAATAAAAAATACTATAAAAAACAACTATAAATATATAACAACTATATTCCGCAGAAATACTTTCAAAATCTCCTAAACAATCCCTTCAAACTCATGTAGAATTACTGTACAGCATGAAGCTTGTCCTGAATAGAGAAAACAAGAATCCGTCAAAGCTTTTGTACGTAGTTACATCAAGATCCTTACGAGCAACCTTCTCCTAAACGAAATAAAAATCAATTTCCACATCCTTTTTTCAGACATGAAAAACCAGACTATGACTTGAACAGGTGGTACCTTTTTTGTCACGCCAAACAAGTGCTGTTCGAGGAAGGTTAACCTCTGCTTCTCAAAGGGAAGATTTGGCCCAAGTGAGTTCAGTTGTCGCATCAACTCGAGCCTTATGCCCTAATTTAGTAAAAGACTTTAGCCTCGGTTCTTTGCGTGCTTGATTCCCAAAAGCATAAATATCCCCTGGGAGGATAGCGTACCGACCCCCTGTAAGATCTCATATCTTCCATACTGTAAGGCTAGTCAAAATCTATATAAACTTGGAGCATAAGAGGGGAACCAACTCAGAATTTCAAACCATGATCTACAGTATGTTTGTCACAGTATAAAACACACATGACTACCATCCAATACTCCTCGGTATGTGGATGCATAGCCTGATACTATTTGTTAATAGTATATACAAGATCAGGCCAAGCCAATGTGAGAAGTCATACAGCACCAACAATTTGACATATAAATTTACCGATGGATTTCAAATGAACAAAGCATCCCACACAAAAATTATTTTCTTCATTTCATCGCTATGTTTTTCGGGAAGTTTGCTATATAACATATAGAATATTATATGCAATTTTGTTGATATTTTTATTTTTTTTATCAATATATTTATCAGTAATTATAACATATCGTTAACAAAATACTATCTGTAATTTTATCAAAAAGTTAACAGTAAAAGTGATATTTGTAGCAATTTTTTTTAACTCTTTGAAATATACCGATAGATATGGTAGCAGTAATTTTGTCAGTAATATTTAAAATATTTTTTAAAAAAATATTGAATAGAAGTAGAAAAATAATTAAAATAAATTGAAATCAAATAAAAATCAAATATATAAAAAGAAATTAAAATAATATCAAAATTAAATATTTGTACGTTCAAATACAATAAATCTAAAACAGAGACAGCGCTTAAAGAGAAGGAGAAGGCTGGTTGTTGCCAAAACCGTGGGGCCAATAAGAAGGAGCACATGGATCAACCATATGTGATCTCATCTTCATTACCACTTGGTAGAGTTCTTCATAATCTACAATAATTTGTTCATATTTTTCATTAAGATAAGTCATCTAATCTTGTACTTTTCAGTCTAATATTGCCTTACACTTGGGAGTTTGAGTGCTCGGAATCGATAGCAAGCATCTAATGGTCGACACATTACAAGTTGTCCAAAAAATTTTGCTACGGTGTTAGAGAGTCCGTACACTCGATTTCTATCGAGCTCACTGAACAATCCTATCTCCAACCACAAATTAAATTTGGATAGATCAAAGGATCGTCCTCTATCTCTCTTTCAAGTGGTTGCTATATATATCCTAAAAATAAATAATAAATTCATCAAATTGAAGAAAATTATAACTTAATAAAAAATAATTGAAAGCTAACATAGTATAAAGTGCTAAACTCGACTATCTATGAACTGTTGTATCTTTTTTTGGCGGTCATCACTCCACATATGTATTTCAACAAAAAGATCTATCAAACTTGACTTGTATCCAAGAATTGTAGCCTGCAACATAATAATGTTGTCAGTTAAATAAATTTATAAAAAATAACAAATAAAAAAATGAAAGTAACAAAAAACTTTTACCATCCACTCCGTATCTGAAATGAATGGAATGAAGCTGCCAATATGCATGGTAATTGAATCGTGAACATGCTGATGCCGGTTCTCCATATTGAACTATAATCATCGAGTGAAACCCACAGATGTCACATACTGAATCTAGTCCACTTATAGTGCCTCCAACATATATAGTGGTTTGAAATCCTTCCAAACCGTCATGTCATTTTAGGTTGGAATCTTGCTTTCTCTCATTTTTATTTTTTTTTGCTTTCTTCTACCCCTCGTACAAAAAAATCACACAACCTATATGTTACCAATGAATTATTTGTTAGTAAATTCAAAATAAAATTTTAATATTTGGAATAAAATTTTTTATCTTGATTTCAATCTCACCTAGTGATAGCGTAATTCTCTCAAATCCTTATCGCAACATTATCATCAATTCTCTCCCATTCAAATTTTTCTTTGTAGTAAAAATTTATAAAAGGAAAATTTGAGTAATTTCAATAAACTAACCAAATTAATATAATAAAAAGAACTATTTAAGTTAATATTAACCTTAAATCTTGAAAATCATGCATCGCCTTACGATTTCCATTCTAGATGTTTTGAAATCTAGCTCTACTAAAACAATAAAATTTTCATCGATGATTTAAAGGACAATGTTATTATTCTTACAACCTCAATGTTTGTAAACCTGAACTTGTATTGGTTAAATAAAATTATTTTAAAAA